CCCCACTCGCGCCCTTTCCAGCACCCCAACCCCAGCCCACAGGCCAAGAGGGGTTCCGGATTCCCAAAAAACTCTGACTCAGGAATCGCAGAGCCCAAAGGCTTACGCTCCACTGCTTGAACCCAGGGACCTGCCTGGGGTCGCACAGCCAGGGACAGACAGAAGCCCAGCAGGCACGAGGAGTCTGAGGTCCCTTTAACCACCGGCAGCTTGTGGGGGACACTTGCAGGCAGGTGTCTGCCTCTCCCCATCCCCATCCCCAGCCTCTTGGAGAGGGGCTGCTGGGCCCAAAGCTCTCAGCCCCACACAGTTAGGCAACCTGAGCGTCCGAGGCTGAGCCGAGGAGGCGGCACTGCCCTGAGGGATGGGGCACCCCAGGAGGATCTCGGAGGACGCAGCCTTGCCCTGTCATCGCCCTGAGCTGGTCAGTGCTTCTCCACTGGGGAAGGGGAGGGCAGGAGCCCAGCGAGGCTGACCGCTGACCCCCAGCCCCAGGCATCAGCCGCCTCGCTGAGGTGGTCAGAGGGTGCCCACTCCCTGGGCACCCCCTCCTGCCACACCAGTTTCCCACGCTCCTCTGTGGGATGGGGTGTCCCCCATGCAGAGGTGGCAGCTCCCTGATGAGCCAGCCTGTCCGAGGACACCAGCCAGGCCAAGCAGGGCTAAAGCAGCAACGAAGGGCCTGCCCTGGCCTGGCTTGGTCTGGGGGCTCTGCTGGCTGGGGGCTCGATGTGGAGTCTGGAAAAGGCATTTCTAAGGAAGACAGAGGAGGTGCCCTCCCAGGGGCCTGGCCCTCCTGTCCCCGGAGAGCATATCTGCACCTCCCTGACGGGACAGATGAGAGAAACCCAGAGGTCCCTGCACTGAGTCCCCAGGGGCGTCTCACCACTCAGGTGCCTCCGCCCAGGGAACTGGAAATCTCCCAGCAGCCCCCTCCTCAATACCACCGCCTCCTGTCCCTCCCCACCCCCTTCCACCAGTCCCTAGAAGTATGGTGGGAGATCAGGGATGAGGGCAAAGCAAAGGCCCCTTATCCTCCAGTCAGTCCCCACGTCTATGCAGGGGCTCCAGCTCGGGACTCCGAGTCAGGAGGACATGGCAGCTGCACGGGGCAGAGGTTGGAGGTCAGCTCCTGCCACCTCGAGGCAGCTGCCAGGAGGCCCAGCCAAACAAGGCATCTGGGTGGATGGATAGCAGCCCCAGGACCCCACCTGAGGGCAGGGCCGAGCAGGCACGTAACCCTGTGGGGTGGCTGGGCCTCCCGCAGCCTCCTCCTAACCTCGTCCTGGCAAAGCAGCCCGGGAGAGGGACAGCGGACCGGCACAGTCTGGCCTGGGCGGGGAGGCTGGCCGGGGGAGCAGGCTGAGGCGCAGAGCACTAATGGGTTATGTCAGGCGAGTGCTCTGGGGAGGGGGCCGCGCCTCTCGGCTCTGGCAGCCCCACCTGGGGCCCGCGCCCAAGAGCCGGAGCCTGGACAGAGATGCTGGCTTGGGTCTGAGTGCAGGATGAGGGCTTGGAGAGGGGCTGCTGGGCCCGAGCAAGGAGCCTCGTCTAGCTGTGACGGCCCGGAAGGCAAGCAAGAGAGGATGACCCCCCCCCCCCGTCAGGCCTCTGTGGGGTGGAAAACACAGAGACCCCCTCCATGGACCGGAGTCCCCAGGAGAGAAGCTTCAGGTCCTGTCAAAGCATCCATGTGGCTTGGCTTGGTGGGGAGCAGAGTCTTGGGGTCCATCCCTAAGCTTCAGGAGGGCCCTCTCATGCCCTCCCACTTTCGCTCCTGCCCAGAGCCCCACCCAGGGCTCCATCCCACGTCAAGTACTCGGTCGGTTCCTCACCCCGCACTCTCGCTGCTCTGCCCGGGGTTTGCCCCGCAGCCCCCATCCTGCAAGCTGCACAGTGAGAGCCCCTCACTCGCCTCTGCTCTGGGGGGTTGGGAGGGTCAGGAGTGGGGGGGGGAGGGCGGTGGGGAAGATGGGAAGGAGCCCCTCTCTCAGGGCTGTGGGCTCAGGGCTTGAATGGGAGCTCACACGTGCAGACTGGGGGCTCAGTGCAAGGGAGGTCAGCGAAAGGCCAGGGACGGAGCCTGGGACTGAGGAGGGGGCCCCTCGCAGTCACCGCAGGGCGGCCAGGGCCCTGTGTGTCTTGGCCCAGCAGGACCCCTGGGCCGCCAGGTATGTAACAATTCCAGCCATTTCCTGCCCTATTAATGAGAAAGGGGCTGATATAAATACACGCTCAGCATAAATAAATACAGGCCAGGCCCCGGCTGCATAGCAGACAGATTGCGTGGAGCTGCTGGCCAGCCCTCCAGCCAGTTCCCCCCACCCTGCCCCGTCCCCTCACCTCCCCCCCGCCGTCCAGGGCCCCTTCACACTCAAAGGTCTGAGACAGACAGGCTGACCGCCCTCACCCTTGACCTCAGAGCGGGGTCCTTGTAGCCCCTGGGGAGGCGGCAGGCCCGGGGAGGGGGCTGGGCTCCCCGGGCTCCCAGGCCTGGAGCAGGTGCTGCTGGTGCACAGACGAGGCAGCAGCCCGGGAGGCCCCAGGTGCTGTGCTGGTGCCTGTTCGCAGGTGCAGGCACTGAGGCTCACGGGGGTAAGGAACCAGCCCACGGTCACACAGCCAGGAGGCTGTGGGTCCAGGATTCAAAGCCTGAGGCTTTCTGATCCCAAGGCCTCTGATCTGCCCACTGTGTGCAAGGGGCAGAGTCTCTCCTCTCCTTTCCTCCCCAGCCCCAGCCCCAGGACTCCAGGGTCCTTGAGAGGCCTGGGAGGACTTACACTCTGGGCCTGGACGCATATGTTTTATGGAACCAGAGCTCAGCTCCTATAAGGGCTCTGCCCACAGATCTGCACACGCAGGCCTGGCGCCTCCCCAGCCCCAGACCAACTCCTAGTCAGGGCGCTCAGGACATTGAGGTCTCTCAAATGCTGACGGTCTCATCAGAGGTCACCTGGTCAACCCACACTGCCCAGACGTGGAAACTGAGGGCCAGAGGGGGCAGAGCCTTATCTAAGGTCACAGAGACAGGGCAGAGCCACGGAGCCCAAGCATCTGGCCCAGCCTGCTCCTCCGGCCTCTGGCTCAGCATGGGAAGGGCCGCGTCCCCACACCAGCCTCTCCTGCTCAGGGCTGCCCCAGCTCTCCAGCCTGCACACTGCTCGGGGCAGACTCAGGTGTCAGCCTGTGACCCAGAACCCAGCCTGGAAAGACATGCAGGACACTGTGGACCTTGTTTTCCTCAAGCTGAGAACCAGAGAATAAGGAAACATTTTTACCTTAAAGTCTCTGTATCTTTGGTTGTTGTGTTGTTTTTTGTTTTTGTTTTTAATTCAGTAGAAGTAAAAGATAGCAGTATCACATGCACGGCCCAGAATCTCCCAGCTGGTCCTGGCCTTCAGCCCAACCTCCAGCTCATCCTGCTTCTGGTCCTCTCTCCCCATGCACCCATCCCCTCTCCCCATGCACTCCGCTCCCCGCTTTGAGGCCTTTCTCCACCTGCCCCTCTCTCCCTCCCTCAAGCCCTGCAGGCCCAGCCTTGTCAGGCACCACCAGCTTGGTTCCTGGCAGTGCAAGGCCCTCCAGCTCCCCATGCTGCACTGGGGTGTTCCCTTACCCCCCCCCCCCCCCCCCGGCGCACACTCCTGCACCCATCGTGCCCTGTAAGCTGGGGGTGTGTCCTGGAATCCCAGTGTGTCTGCTCCTTCACCAGGGCTGTGCAGAGCCTCCCAGCAGGTGCTCTGCCTCATTGGCCAGGCCGAAGCCCCTTACAGGTCTCCCCACAAGGACAGGCTGGGACTGCTCCTCGGACTTGGAGGAAGGGCCTGGAAATTCACTGCACACCCACCCCAAGCCATCTGCAGGTCCATATGGGAGACAGGGCAGAAACCCGGCCCTAACTTCCCTGGGAGCCAGAATGGAGAAGGAGAAGCAGGGCAGAGCTCTCTGGAGCATCCTCCCGTACTCACACCACCCTCAGGCTTGGGAGTGAGAAGTTGATGGCTAACTCTCAAGAAATCATCTCTTCCCCCCACTTTACCGTATCACTCACCTCAGTGGTGTCCCACTGCAGCTTGAACTCTCGTAGCTGTATGAGTCCTCCCTCAGCAAGACTGGACAGCTAGGGGTGAGTGCTGAGAAAATGATGTTTCCCTCTTTCAGGAGGGAATGGACATATGAATCTGTGAATGGATTTGTGAGTATGGGGATGGGTAGACAGGCTGAATGATGGATGGATGGATGGATGGATGGATGATGGATGGATCTGTTGATGGATTTGTGGGTGAGGAGGTGAATGAATGGGTAGGCAGGAGAGTTGATAAGCTGAGGATGGAAGGATGAAGGGTTGAGTGGGTGGACCAGTGGGTGGACATATGGATGGGTGGGTGGGTGGGTGGACATATGGATGGGTGGGTGGGTGGATGGGTGAGTGGGAATTAAGTGGCTGAGTATGTAAATGAATGGATGGGTTAGCTACAGACTGACTCAGGAATAACTACTCCTCAAAGGAATTTTCTAAATCTCTGAAATGTGAGGCCCTGGCACCCCCCAAAGGCCAGAGTCTCTAACTACCCCTCTCCTCTAACACACCAGACACCAGCAACCCTGGGACCCAGGGACGGGGCCTGGAGAAAGTGAGGGCTTCTGGGAAACAAACATCTGGGGTCCAGTGCTGGCTTTTCCCCTGATTCACTCTGGGCCCTTGGGATTGTGCCACCTTCTGAGGCTCCATTTTCCTTATCTGGAAAAGGATGCTGATCAAACCTGATTACTATGAGATCTAAACAAAATCACACGTGTAAAGTGTCTGAGATGGTTATCTGGCATGTATCGGGTGCTCAAGGAACGTGATTTCCTTCCCACAGGCAGCCCTCGGGCACGCATGCAGGCATCCACACGCATACATACACATGCACACACACACATATGTGCACACACATCCCTCCAGCCCCGTGAGGCCCTAGACCCGACAAGACCAGGAGAGGCAGATGAAGACACATTTATTCTCCGAGGGTCTCGCGCTCTGGCAGGACTGGCCCGGCCTTGAGAACCAGAGACTCGAAGAACGGGGACTCAAATAGAGACTCGGCTTCCTGGGGCTCGGCCTCCTGGGCCTGGGCCAGCTGGGCCGTGTGCTCAAAGGCGGCCTGCAGCAGGTGGGAAGCCAGGCAGGTGGACCAAGTGACCAGATAGGCCAGGCGCCAGGCGGTAGCCTCGATCGTGCTCTCCACACACCAGTACAGACGCTTCGTCAGCGCCAGCAGCCCCAGGACCACCTGGTTCTCCACCAGAGCCTGGAGGGACGGAGAGGATGGGCAGGGGCCCACCACGCGCTCACAGGACTGCACTGCCCGGCGGCTAGCCCGCTAGCCCAGCCCCGGTCATGCCCAGCCCCCCAGGCCTGCCCCCGGCAGCCTGCCCTGCACCCTGCCACCCACCCTGCTGGGCAGCCAGCCCAGGCTGCAGCAGTGGGCCTTCCACAGCAGCCGGCAGGCGAGCAGCAGCAGCAGCAAGGCGGCCAGCATGAGGCTGTGCAGACACGACAGAAGCAGGTCCACCCAGGTGGCCGCAGAGAGACCCAGCTGCTCCCAGGCACCCGGCTGCTTCGGGTCCAGGCCCAGGGCCCGAGCACAGCCCAGCGTTCCTGCCCACACGAGCCTGGGCACCCTCAGCACCAGCCACACAGGGACTTCCATCAGGGCCAACCCAGCCCGCAGGACCGAGCCCACGGGGCAGGCGGGGAGCCAGGGCTGAGGGTGGGCTGGCCGGCTGCAGGAGCCCTGGGCCTGCTGGAGCAGCCCGGACAGCCAGTGGTTGAAGAGGATGATCTTGAGGAGCAGAACGTTGTAGAGATGGACCCGGTTCTGGACCAGCTGCGGGGGAAGGGGAGACCGTGGTCACCCATCGCCACTCCGTGGGGGCAGGAGCCCTCCCTGAGTGTTATTGTGGGGGTTGGGGCTGCCAGGTCACCTTAAGCCAGGCCCCCCTCCTCTCGAGGCCTCAGATACCCCACATATAAGAATGGTCTTTGCCGCCGAAACCGGTTTGGCTCAGTGGATAGAGCGTCAGCCTGTGGACTGGAGGGTCCCGGGTTTGATTCTGGTCAAGGGCACGTACCTTGGTTGCAGGCACATTCCCAGGAGGGGGTGTGTGGGAGGCAGCTGATCAATGATTCTCTCTCATTGGTGTTTCTAACTCTCTATCCCTCTCTCTTCCTCTCTGTAAAAAAATCAATATATATATATATTTTTTTTTTTAAATGGTCTTTATCTGTTCACTTCTAAGGACTCCGTTCTCTTAGAAAGTGTCTCCTCTTACATGCGGTTCTCTCTCTTGTGGGTCTAAATAATTATTTCTAAAACTCCAGACTGAAGGAGATTGACGATGATGATAATGTCGATGACACAGGAGTGACCATCCCCCTCAGCCCTCTAATCCTGTAGGATCTGAATCTGTTGCTTCTCGGTGTCATGAGCACAGCTGGTAGCAAAGGGCAGAGTGTGAGGCATGGGGGACAGGGACGGAAGGAATGACTGACCCGCTGAGAGGGGTGAAGGAGAGGGAGGGAGCTAGGGTGATGTCCATATTTCTGTCCTGGGGGACATGATGTCTCCCTCCATTGGGAGGCAGTGGGGTTGGATGGGGAAAGAGCCCTGATGCCCCCAGCCCCTGAGTAACACCAGCCTACCAACCTGGACCCCGTGTGTCCTTGTCCACAGGACCATCTGGAGCCCTAAGGGGTGGGGTGAGAGGCAGCAATCTGGGGTTGACAGTATGCCCTCCCATATGAAGGATCAGCAGAGCCGAGGGGATGGAGCTTTGCTGAGAAAGGAAGGGAACACAGGGGTCCACCTACAGGAGGAATTAGGATGGGGCAGGAAATGGCATCTGCCCCCACCCCCACCAGCTGATAGTGCTGAGACCAGGGAGGGGAGCAGCCTCCTACATCCCACATGACCTATAAGGTCCGTTAGTGCAGAGAAAGTGGAGGCTCAGAGAGGTAGAGTAATTTGCCCAAAGTCACACAGCTGAAGAGCAGAGCAGCCAAGATTCAAAGCCAACTGCCTGTCTCCTCCTGCTACACCACGTCCTCAGCAGCCGGCCCCAGGGACCCTCTTCTCATGACTCAGCCCCCTGAGCAGCGGGAGCTCAGAGACGTGTCCCCAGGCATCAGCATCTGCATGTCTTCAAACAATGAATGGGGCCTGGCCGTTGGGCTCAGTGGTTAAGCTGAGGTCACAGTTCCATTCCCGGTCACAGCACATGCCCCGATTATGGGCTCCATCCCCAGGGTGGGGCAGGCAGGAGGCAGCCGATCAATGGTTCTCATCATGGATGTTTCTATCTCTCTCACCCTTTCTCCCTTCCTCTCTGTAAGAAATCAATATGTTTAAAAAATAAAATTTAAAAATATATTTTTATATATAGTAAATAAATTATATATATTTTGTATATAAAATATATATTTATATCTAAGTAAAATATATATTTAAATAAATTATATATATATATATATATATATATATATATATATATATATATATGTGTGTGTTTTAACTGGATAGGAAAGGCAATGCTTTCCCACAGGAGTGATGCCGGCCCTGTGCCTTGGGGCGGGGCTCCTGGGAGCTGTCAGATTATCCAGGAGGCAGGCAGTCACCCAGCCCCACTGCTCAGGACGGGTCACCGGGTCCAGCAGCTCCCAGGGAGCTGTGAAGAGCCAGGGTGTGACCCAAGCCCTCCCCCCTCTACCCTGGACCCCACTGACCAGCACAGACAGCTTCACCAGCAGCAGCAGAATCCCCATCAGGCTGGGTCTGGAAGGAGGGACGGCTTCCACGTCCAGCCTCCTGTGCCTCCTCCAGCTGGGAGAGGCAGGTGACCTCACAGACACCAGAGGGCAGGGCCAGGTTACCGTGGGGACCCCGTTGCCACAAGAGAATCACCTGCTTCCCTCCCCCTTCCCTGCACCAAAACTGGGGTGTTTGTCTGCCTCGTCCTGTCCCCCTTCCATTGGAGACTGCTCCCAGGGACATCAGCTCCCCAGCACGGAGGGCCTCAGGGCCTGCAGCAGGCAGCGGAGAGGCAGAGGGGCGGACAGAAACAGGTGTGCCCCCCCACACACACATTCTTCCAACGCCCCACGTATCCAAGGCCGGGAAATAAAAACCTGTACCTCAGGGCCGCGGTGACAGGGTGCTTAGAGGCAGAGGGGACTGAGCATGCTCAGCTGCCCAAACCGAAGGGGCCTGCCCAAGCCCCCACGCCCATTCATTCCTGCATTTCACTGAAGGTTGGTCCCCAGTCACAACGCAGGGGGTGAGGCTGTGACCTTTATCCTCGGATCTTAGGGACACTTCAGCGGTGTGACAGAACAGAAAGGCTTCGTCTGCCGCGCTGGCAGAACCGAACACGGAACAGGACGCTGAACACGGAGCACGGCCGTGGAGAAATAGCGGCTCTTTTTTTATTATGAATGGAGCCATCCCGGAGAACAGGACGCTGGTGCTCACAGGGTGACCTTCCCCGCGGCATGCAGGTCACATACCGGGCAAACATCAGACCCCGGGGGTGAGGGGCGAGGGGTCCTGCTGGGAGCTGATTGGTTAGACGTGAGGTGAGGTCCTAAGTCATCTCTCCAGGTCTGGAGGGCAGCTCTCGGCCTTTCCCCGCATCCCTTTGGTTCCATGCGAAAGCAGCCAGGAGAACGGCCCACCTGAAGGCTCAGGAACTAAGACATCTAGTAACGGAGGTCAAAATGTTATCTTTTGCCCGCCAGTGGTCAGAACCCTGGGACCATTGGTTAGGTCCCGGCTACTGTCCCCTGCTGCCTCAGGGATTGTCAATTATAGGGAAGGATTGGGGTGGGAGGAGGCTAGGTAAGAGAGAGAGAGAGAGAGAGAGAGAGAGAGAGAGAGAGAGAGAGAGAGAGAGAGGAATTCTAGAGCTGGGCTTTATAACTAGTTCATCAAAGTCCTAAGGACCCTCGGTTTCAATGGGCTGTGAGACTAGGCAGAAGAGAGCAAGGAGGAGAAAATGTGCCTCGGAATGTCCCGGAAAGGGACCTGTCCTCGGGAAAGAGGGCACATCTGCAGAGCGAGCCCCCTCAGGGCCTCAAGAGGCAGCAGGAGGCCACACCCCGGCCACCAGAATGTTGGAGAAACTGCTGGAGCCATTCATCAGAATACATCAGTCCAGGGGGAATCCGGAACCTGGGCACAGCTCTCTCACACTGCTTTCCCCAGCAGGCGGCCCCAAGGGGCTGGGGGACGCTGAGGCTCTCACCTTTCAGAACATTCTTTCAGAAATGTTTCAAAGCGCCATCCCTGGGGCACAGGCCACAGGGAGTGCCGGGCTCTGTGGGGAGAGGGCCCCTCCGTGCAGACCGGAAGGATGAGAGCCACCGGCCCTGGCACGCAGCTCCATTTCCGTCCTCTCCATTCCCTGGGCCTGGCCCCCTGTGCAGAGCACAACGGACCCCACCGTCCCCCGCAGCCTGCCAGCGTGAGTCCCTGGAATGTCAGCGAGGACTTTGTCCCGGGCAGCCCCGTGGGCCCACTGGCTTCCTTTCCCGGGGCAGGAAGCTGGAGGATCCAAAGTCCCTCCATTCTGTCCTCGGCCTTCGAGCCCCTCCCCCACCCGCTCTGTCTCCAGCGCTGTGGCCCTGGGAAGGCCTAGGGGAGCGAGGTTTTTTTATATTTTTTTTTAATATTTTTATTGATTTTTTACAGAGAGGAAGGGAGAGGGATAGAGAGCTAGAAACATCGATGAGAGAGAAACATCGACCAGCTGCCTCCTGCACACCCCCCACCGGGGATATGCCCGCAACCAATGTACATGCCCTTGTCCGAATGGAACCTGGGACCCCTCTACCACTGAGCCAAACCGGCTTCGGCCGGGAGGGAGTGAGGGTTTGAAGGATGGGTAGGAGATGCACAGAGAAGAGAGCGTGAAGGATGGTCCGTGCAGAGGGCGCAGCTTGATTTAAATAGTCTAGTGTGTTAACGGGGAAAACAAAACAAACAGAAAAACAAAACATTGAAACCTGTAAAGAATTTTAGTGAGTTTATTTGAGCCAAACCGTCGACATATGCGGGGAAGCAGAAACTCAACGGATTGAGATAGTGCTCCGAAGAATGGCGGGGTTACATTTCTACTTATACACTGAAATCAAAGGAGGGACATAGGTGGGTTACACGAAATTCATTGGTGATGGAGTAAGGAAGCGGGAGAAAGCAAAGCGGTGGGAAACCCCTGGGATTGGATAAAAAGTAAAATGACGGAGGTGTACTCAGGGGAGTACAGGAACTATTAACATGATAACGAAGGAATTTGAGGCATCTGTCCTGGGCCCACCACATTGGGTTGTGCCCCAGGGGCTCCAGAAAAAAAGGGAAGTTACAAGTTACCCAGACTTCTCACAGATATGTTATCTTAGAGGCAAAAAGGCAAATGGGCTCAGTAAAGAAGATTGAAGTTGATCTTTGTCTGGGAAAATATCGGCCTAGAACATGACTGCCCACTATAACCTGTTTGTAGTTAGATATTTAATTTTCAAACCATCTTTTGTGGTTGCTTTAGGTCTCTGAGTTTGCAAGACTGCCACGCAGGCCTCCCCTGAGCTTGTCAGGTCAGCATGTGGCTCCTTTCATTCACAAGTGTCACCAGAGCATAAAGTGGGGCGTTGAGAGGAGCACAGAGTAGGTGGTGAGGTCCAGGAATATCCTATTAAATGACAGGAGCCGTTCAAGAGGTGAAGCCTCAAGGCCACTGGAGAGCATTGCGGGCTTCCCAACAGCCCCTCTGGCTGCCTGAGGAGGCTAGCCGAGGAGGGAGGAGGGGTGAGGGGATCTGCTAGGAACCCACAACAATAAACCCTCTGGGCAGAGACTGGTTTGGCTCAGTGGATAGAGCATCGGCCTGCGGACTGAAAGGTCCCAGGTTCAATTCCGGTCAAGGGCATGTACCTTGGTTGCGGGCACATCCCCAGTAGGGGGTGTGCAAGAGGCAGCTGATCAGTGACTCTCTCTCATCGATGTTTCTAACTATCTCTCTCTCTTCCCCTCTGTAAAAAAAAAAAAAAAAAAAAAAAAAAAAAAAAAAAAAAAATCAATAAAATATATTTTAAAAGATAAAAATAAAAATAAAAAATAAACCCTCCAGGCATAAGGTGCCGGGAGCCTGGACTGGGGCTGTGGCGCTGAGAATGGAGGGAAGTGGGCAGAGGCCAGAAACGCATGGACGGTGGAACCGACAAGGATGGAAGCTGAACCGACAAGGATGGAAGCTGTCAAGAACGGTGAAGGGCCCGAGACTGTACCCTGCTTGCGAACTCGCCCGTCCGACGGCCAGAGCCTCCGGGAGGCTAGGAGCAGGCACAGGACTCCTGGGTCAGAGAGGAAGGACCGTTTATCACAGCACCAGCAGTGAACTAGAGCCTAGGCATTTTGCATTGACTCTTTGAGTCCCAAATCCCGCGAGGTGACGTGATTAGAGCCAGGTGACACCTGAAGCGTATTACCGAAGAGAACCCCTGAGCTGAAGGAACCCGAGTCTTTTATAATAATAGGCAGAAGCCAAGCCTGCCCCTTGCTCCTGAGAGTCACGTCAGCCGCCTCACGCTGGACCGTGCCTGTGCTTCGCTCCAGAGGGAAACATTCTATACCCCAAGGTGGTTTGATACACAAACATTCGGGGGGAAATCATCCAGAACAAAGAGAAATCGGTTCCTTTGCAGGAACACAAGTGGCCTATGGAAATTTTGTCTCCCAGCCAGAGGACTGAAGAGGAAGAGGGGTACACTGAGGCCGGGCTCAGGATCCCCCTCAGAGGGATCGGGCAGAGGGTGGGTGGTGCTGCTGCCCACTGAGGTGGGGCGGGGGGGGGGGGGGAGGGGGGAGGCGTCGAAGTGGGTTTGGGGAAGCGTCTGAGAGGTTGCCGGGAGTCAGATGGTGAGGACCGAAACTAAGACTTGCAACTCATTTCCCCGCCTGGCCTCTTGGGCTTGCCCCCCAGCATCACCGGCATCACGTAGCCGACACTTGTGCCTGCGCTGATGGTCCTCCACCTCACATTGACCAAACTGCCTGCACCGCGTGGCCCCGGCCGGAGCTGGAGTTGAAGAGACCTCATCCTGCCGCACTGCCCTCAGGGTGGGCCCCTTGGGGTATCTCTTGAGTCCCATTAGAATGCCAGGGGCAAGTCTGTCTCAGCTCCACCAGCAGCTGCTGCAGAGCGCCCTCAAACTGAATTCTTCAGCAAAGAGCCCTCCACCCCCTAGGTTCAAGGCCACCCCTGCACTACTGTGCTATGTGTTGCCTTGGGCAGTACCTCCCCTCCTGGCCCAGTCCTCACCTTGCAGGGTAACAGAGAGAACCAGGAGAATCCCGTTATCAATGCACATTGCCTTGCACGACGTCAGGGGGCACCATTCTCAGGTCCCTGCCCTGAACCCGAGAAGATTCTCCTCCCCTGCCAGGACCAATGGCGGCGAGAGTAAAGGCAAGGAGCCCCGCCTCAGAAGCTTCCCACCACGTGTCCAAAAGCTCTCAGGGACGCTCCTCTACAGGTGCAGGACCACGGCGCGGCCGCAGGAGGGCAGCAGATACCAGGGTTGCGGGCAGGCACCACTGGGCGCGCCGAGCAAATTGGTGGAAAGTTTGCAGTTGCTTCTTTCGTCCTCTGGCCTGCAAGGACAAAGCATTGTGTCAGCCCTGTAAACAACAGTGTTTCGGTGTGTTATCTCCAGAGGCTCGCCGGGCGCAGGTCTCGCCATGCCTGGGTTGCTAGGGATGAAACCAGCAAGAA